CCTGAGCTGTTTCTCAGTCTGCGTTCTTGTGAAACGTCATCAGTCGCAGCCAAAGGTCCGCATCTAGCCAGGTACAGTCAAATACCCGGATGTGTTCTCGCTCTATCGGTGGTGAATTGTGTGGACTTCGGATAGCCAGATATCCCAGAATGCATTTCGCCGCCAAAAAGCACAAATGTCAGACGAGAAAACTCACAACTGTAACTTATAATACTGCTGTTCTTGTGTCACATATAGTAGATTTAAGTGTTTTTTTATGTGGGAAAATAGTCTTTTAAACTCCAAATATGTGGTTGATTTCTCAAGACCGAGCTGATTTAAACAATTGCTATGACGTTGCAAGTCACCATAATGTAAATCACTAAATTTTAGGGAGAAGAATTGGTTGAAGGGTTAGGGTGGGTATGGTCCTGGTAAATCTCCAGGGACAGAATGTCCTCTGAATGATGGAAAGACAAGTGTGTGTGTGTGTTTTCATGGAGGTAACCTCGGTGTCTACACTGTAAATATTATGAAGACAGACAAAGAACTAGAAGAGAAGCTAAAGACTGTTTTGATGTCAAATTATTCAGTCTTTTTACGATAAAACAACTACAATTCAGAGTTTTCAGACGTTTATTTCTGTCTCTTTTCTAATCGTCTTGTGGTTCCGTCAGATCTGAGACTCGGCTTTTCTGACTTTTAGCTTTAACAAATACTTTCTTGTCTCGCTTGTCTGATTATCAAACTAGATTAAACTGCGTCTGTTCTGTTACACGTGAAGGAAAGGAGGAGGCGTCTTTGAGTTTACAGCAGTGGATTATATCAAACGGTCGATGGACTATATTCACACGCAGGGGAGGCGTTCAGGAAATAAAGCAACAGGTTTAGACAAGGGCAGTTGTTTTCTTAATTAATTGATCAGTTGTTAGGACCAGAAATTGTGAAAAATGTCGATCATTGTTTCCCAAAGCCCAAGATGACGTCCTCAAATGTCTTCCTTTGTCCAGAACCCAAATATATTCAGTTTACTCTCACAGAGGAGCGAAACAACCCAAAATATTCACATCTGAGACGAAATTATTATTCTGAAATTATCTGTCATTAATAAAAAGGACTCAAAGCGATTAATAGATTATCAAAACAGTTAGCGATTCATTTAATAGTTGACAGCTAATCGATTAATCAACTAATTGCTGCACCTCTAATTTAGACAGAGCCTCCCTGCAGGTCGCCAACATTACAGACGGCCAACAGTAGAGGGGTCAAAGGTCAAAGGAGTTCCTGTTCAGAGCGGAGAAGAAGTTTAACAGGAAGTTAAAATGTGACGTCAGCAAAACACAGAGGCTGGTTTTCTTCATGTGCGGGTTCATTCATTCATTCTTCGGATTATTTGAGTTTATAAATCACATCCAGCGTGTTTCAGTCTGACTGAGGAGGAGGAAATAAAAAGAGGAAGGAGGGACAGATGGATAAAGAGAGAGTGAGAAGTCTTCAGGCTGTAAACTATGTAGAAACCTCGGAGAATGTGTCAGTGAACGCAGCGCTCTCTGCAGCAACACAAAGCCTCTGTGGACAGACACGTGGTCGTCATGTGACCAGCTGATGTCACACCCGAGAAGCTGGTCCGGTTTTAAGGCGCTGCAGAACCTCAGAGTCCAGATGAGGATGTCTCGTAGCTCATTTAGCTCTCTCACCCTCTTTTATTTTCTATTTAACTCTTTTAAGAGTTATCATTTCCCCGTGATGCTTTTATTTTGTATGAAATGCGCTGTACAAATAAAAATAAACGTGCCTCTCTCTGTGTCACACCTCCACATGTCGTCTCACTCTCCTGTGAGTGCAGGGTGCTAATTATATAATATATAAAATAATAAACTCTATATTGATGTCAAAATGTATCTCATCTACAATAACTAATCCTCATAAATAGCCAACATTAGAAATGATAGGGCGGGTTATCAGCTAGCTAAAGTCGTTTTAAGTAAAGAAAAATGCTCATTACGAAACTTGGAAAGTTAAGTATTAAACGAGCGAGATAGTTAACTTTACATTAACCTCCTGTGTCTCCATTAGCTCGTTGTGTGACGCGCTGGACTTTAACGAGCAGCTGCGAGGCACACAGACAAGTTCAACTAACGTCAAGGTAGGTCAGTGTGGTCAGTACAAAAGTAACAATTACAGTAATGTTTTTCTTTTTGCTGTAACACAGTAAAACAATGCATTCCTAAAGAAAAACGCGCATTTTAACTCTAAATTAAGTGGTGTTTTGTTTTTTTAATAATTCACCAACACTGAGAAACATTTCAGAAGCAGGAAAACAAGTCAAAGAGTGACGTTATTTCCTGTTGCAGGAATCTGACGGCCGAGATTGTAATCAGGGTGCAAACTACGGGGGAGCTCCCCTGATGGATCATGGGTAAATAGATTTCTATAGGCTGTGTGCAGAGATGGGGACTCGAGTTTGAGACTCGGACGCCGACTTAAGTCGCACACACAGTGACTCCAGACTCGACTTGAGACTCGTCCTCGAGGTGCGGGACTCATGAACGATGTTTATTTTTAGGAAGCGTCTGATGAGCGTGCTGTTATTCCCTCCCTGCGTTACCTGTAACCTGCATACGTAACACGTAGCATCAGCTGCGCGCGGCCGCACGTGAGAGAGGACAACAAACAGCTGCTGAAACTTTGGCTTTAAAACTTCATACAACAAGACCCAAACAAAGAAACGCTGAACGCAAAATAGGTTAGTGAACATGCTTAACTCAGCCAGAGACGTTTTATAGAGGAGACACGCCACTCAATCACATCCTCATTATAACTCTGAGGAAAGCCCCTAACGGCAAAGATGGTGGTTATCCCGCCCCTCCCGCTAGAAAGCCGACCGTCTGCTTTTAACAGCGAAAGCGGGAAACATATTTCAGCCAATCGTGTGGTCTGCTTTACTTTTACTGCGCATGCGCGGAAGTGGTGACGCAAGAAATATATCCGGGCAGGAAAAACACTTTTTAAACCTTATTCAGCGCTTTTTATCAGATTTTACTGCCGATTCTAGTCATGTAGTTTTTGTGTCCGGGTGGCCTGTGAAAGTGCAGCTCTGGCTCTCTCCACATTCACTCAGACAGGAGCCTGGTCCTGTTAGTCCGAAGTAGCTGCCCGGAGGCGTTGCCAAGATGGCAGCCGAGTGGCATGACTTGCCTAAAAGGACTTTGGCTCAGCATCTAACGTTAGCTTGCTTCTTGCTTTTAGCTACGACCTACGGGAGGTCAACTCGGACTGTCGTTCATTATGCAAAGACGAATCAGCGTTTGTTTACTAGCCAAACTTGTGGCGGTCAATTAATCATTTACGTCCCGCTGGCTGCAAACAGGTTCCAGGTTTATTGTTGATCATGTAACATTACAGTTTCATTTAGTCTACCTTGACGGGTTCATCCTAAATTATTTTTCAGGTTTCAGTCTGAAAAAGTGGTTTTGGAAAAGAAAGGACGGAGGTGACCGGAGGAGGTCAGTGAAGCTAATTAGTGATGCAAACTCGTCCTTTAAGCTGATGAGGAGACGTTTCTTTTTGGATTTTAATGTGCAAATAAAATGCACCTCTGAAGGGAGGAGGTTTCTCATGTTGCCAATTTTTTATATTAATGTCTACAGATAAATGTCAGAAGCTGTAAAATGAAGACACAAAAGGCAAACATGATTCTGAGGTCATATTAACAGGGTTTCAAGGGGTGATGCCCAAAACATGCTGAGCTATCAATATAAAATCACTGAGGAGCAACAGAACGACCATCAAATCTAAAGGTTGTCGTTCATCCAGCAGGCTGATCTTTGGCTGTTGGTTATTTATTATCTGCTCCAGCTTTTCCAACTATTTGTTGTAAAAACAGCCCAATGAGATGTGAAATTACATATTTTTCCTTGGAAAAGGTAAAATCCTCCTTCAAACTGGTTGAATAATTTAATTGTACGTCTTTGCTGAGCGAGAGTTTCGTGCATAAGGAATTAAAGGCCTGTCCCAAATCATCAGCAAGGTGAGTTCAGAGATCGGAGGAAATAAAAGCTGGGCTACTAACTGAAGTTTTATGGTTCATAAAATATAATGGCAGCGATCAAAATCTCCTCAGGTAATTGAAAAAGTTCTGCACCATTTCAGGTACTGTTGGTAGATCAGACAGGTGTCCCTGATCTACCTGTGTTAGGTAGTCTGGAGGAGGGAGACAGTAAGGGGCGGTGTGCAGCGTGTTTTACTGCGGTGATCTAAATCCACTCGGTCTGAATCTGCACGACTGAAGTCTGAGAAACAAGAGAGTCGGTTAATCTCTGATATTTCCTGCTGCCTCAAACGCAGCGTCAAAGTCACTCAGAGACAAAACTTCTGCAGAGTCAGCCTTTATTAAAAAGCTCCTCTGCAGGATGAGACCCGACAGCCTTTAGACCGAAGCTCCAACCTCTGACCTTCAGAACTCCAATGATCCAGATTCCTGAACCAGATCAAACTCCCACAGACACAAATCAAACATATCCTGCTGCACACGCTGTCCTGAGCTGAATCATAATACAAATCATTATTTTCACATTGGTTTTATCATTTGAGTCATTTTTTTTTAAACAAAAACGCCACAATTTTCCAGTTTCACCTTCTGAAACACAAGACTTTGCTGCTTTTCTGTGTTTTAACTGTTGATATAATTTATTGATGTGTATTAATATTACAGAATGTATTGGTATTTAGGTTATGTCTTGGACCATTGAAAGTGTCACCTTGGGCTTTGGAAAAGACCATTTAAACTTACATTTCATAAACTATTAATTGATTAAAAAGCAATAATTGTTTTTGCAGCTCTCGCGTTTTCCCTCTTTAAAAAAACTAAAGTCATCACTTTGGAGAAGCTGCTCTGAAACACTGAGAGTCTGCTTCAAACTCCTCAGACATCCAGTAACTGTTTTATATTTTAACCTGGAAGCAGCCTGACGAGCTTCAGCTTAAACTGCGTTCATCACAGCCGGCGGTGTTTTACTCACAGCTGGGAGTCATTGTGGCGGATCAGCGGCTCAAACTGTCTGCAGAACCCGGGCTGAAGCGTCTGAGCGGCGGGCACAGAGTCAGGTCTTCACGGAGAGACGCGGAGCTCCGATCAAGCCTGAGAGGATCCAGCTCTGCACAGACCAGCTGCTCAAATGACCAGAAAGGACTCAACCAGAGACTGAGGTCTGCAGGGAGCGACGCGCTGTGCTGCCTTCAGGTGCGGTGGGAAATGAGAGCGGCGCAGAGAAGGTCAAAGCGGGGGGGGGTTTATTTAAGGTGGTTCAGCTGGAATTGGACATTTAAGCTTTTCCTTGTTTTGCTGTTTGAATAGACAGAATCAGTACATTATTTTTTAAACCCTCGTGAAAATAAAACTTTATTGATAGAGAGCAATTTACACAAACCATTTTCAGTATTTCTCAGCATGTGTTCACTCTTCACTGAAGGTGTCTCTGATATGAACGCAGTATTCTAGTAATATTATATAATATTATACATTTAAATGACTCGCCCCGTAAGTCATCAGTGTGTGCAATTTAATTCAACATGTGCAATAAATCCATGTCTGTTTACAGTATTATTAACATTACTGATTATTTTTTAGTCTGTTTTGTCAGTTCATACAGTAGTGGTGGTGGTGATGGTGCAGTGGATAAGATGCCTCTGGTTTAGGAGACATCCACCAATGTGTCCCAAGACATTTAAAGAGGTCATATTCTGCTAATTTTCATTTCTTATTTAGATGTTGCACCAGAACAGGTTTACATGATAAAGTTTTTGTCACATTGCTGCAGCTCCTCTTTCCAGCCTGTGTTGAAGGCTTCGTTTTAGCTATGGAGTGATACATCTTGTCTCTAAATGATCTTTGTTGGGAGTTGCACATGCTCAGTTCCTAGTTAAGGACTACTAGCCAATCAGAAGCAGAGAAGGGCGGGTCAGCGAGAAGCCGGTAAACCGCTCGGGTTCAGCCGTACGTGTTGCCGACCAGCTCGGCAACACGGACTGGAGCGACTTTATGTCCACTGACTGCCTGGAGGGTAGCTAGTGTTTGGAAGGGAGAGGAGAGCTGTGTGCTGCAGCTCGCTGTTTCTGAGGGCGTGTCGGAGTCGCCGCTTGGCGAGCGCTATATGAGGCGCGTTTAGCTTTCATCCCTGTGACGTCACAGGGATGAAAGCTAAACGGCTGGACTACAAACGAGCTGTTTTCAGTTCAGAGCAGAGTTTTCTGTGGGAGATGGGAACTCCCTTTGGGCTTTTTCACTTTGCAAACCTGTTACATGCACAAAAAAGGTATAAACTCAATAAAGGAGAGGGCAAAAGCCAAAAGTAAGTAACTCCAGAGGCCTGTGACGTCTGACATATATAACAGTTGTAAGTCGCTTTGGGTAAAAGCATCGGCTGAATGACTAATTCTGATTTCTCAATCCCTTTGTTAGCTGGATGTAACGTTTGTTCTTTTGCTCACTTGTCCTTGTACAGTCTGAATAACAATAAAGTTATTTTGAATGATGCACCAATAGACAAGATGGATGAAGAAGCCAGAGGAGCCACGCTGCCAAACCTGCTACAGGTTCAGGAAGCTTTTAAATGTAAGAAAAAAAATAAACGAATGACTCAAACTTTGTTTTTTATTTAAACCGTTTCAGCAGGTTTGATTAAAGACCTGCACCGTCCTCCTCTGACTCCATTATGTTGTTTAAGTGGACACCCGAGAGTGCTTTATGGCCTTGTACCAACACAGGGTCCCCTCTGGGTCCAGGTCTGGTTAAAGTCACACCCTCTCTTTTTAATTTTCAATGTCAAACTTGTTCTGTTTCATTTCCCCACGCAGAGAAGAATCTGTCACTTTTCATTCAGCGGGGACGTTATTAAACGTGTGTGTGGATTCCTGCAGCCGAGAGTCATCGGTCAGCTGATCAACACACACACAAGAGCAAACACAATGACCACGCACACACTAACCCCGCCACTCTGAGTCACTGACGGCCATTTACTTCCATCTGAACCAGACAAAGTGTTTTCTGATCTGAGGTCAGCATCAGCAGGACGACTTCATCTAAAACAGTTCGCTGCTGGAAACCAGTTTTATGAGCGCCCCCCCCCCCCCCCCGGCTGTTAAGTGAGAGACCAACATGGCTGCCTGTACGACTCACAGAGGTCATCAGGTCCATTAAATCACAGAGGACATGTAGAGGTCTCACCTTCCCTCCTTCTCTGATCCCAGATCAGGACGCTGCTCCATGAGGGAGTTCTGCAGTGACCCTTTGGTGGTTGGTGACCCTGACCGACCAACAGAAAGACCAACATGTTGTAAATCTCTCATTTCAGGCTGATGAAGGTGAACGTTGACACGCCTAAACACTCCAGGGTTTTCAGAACTTAACAGACAGAACGAACCGATGTTTAATATTTGAATCTGAAGAGCGCACACGCCAGCCAGCCCGTTCCCCCCCCCCGACTCGTCACATGTGACCCATCGGCGTCAGTGTGTAACGCGGTGGGGGAAGCCCTGTAGCGTCGGGTTTTGACGGTAAGACTGAGTAGGTCTTAACTTAAACCTCCTCGTCAGACTGCTCACTTTCTACATTCCCCTTGTTCTGGCCTCCTGGTTCTGACAAAGTCCTGGTTCCACAGTTCAACATTTTTTATACAGCCTATAGATCCTTCTTGATCTCTGGGGAGGACAGATCTGACAGCGTGTCAGACACTGACCGGACCGACCAACTACCAGCTAAAAGCTAAAAACACTCCAAGTACAACTAATTTTGTAATTAGCTCCAAACACTGGCAGCTTTCTCGCTTTATGAAAGGTACGGAGCAGATTTTATCCGCCACTGAGCAGGAAAGTTGGTGACAGACACGAGACAGAAAGACGGTATGACCTGTTTCTGAAAAGCCACGGCCCGACACGCCGCTGCTTCCTGTAAAGCCGGACCGCTATGTGAAAGCACACATGGTTGCGGGATAAAGCTGCAAACGTTTGTTCAGTATGAAGAAGCGATTGCGACATAAAAGCGGCCGCACTCTCACTCTCCCCTCCCGACTCCTGTCGCCTGACGCACACCCCTACAAATCTACGCCAATCAAACACAAGTAACATGAAAAGAACATAAACAACAACCAATGAACGCCTCTAATCTGCGTGTTACATGATACTGAATACCTGGGTACATCGGGGACCAATTTAAGTGCGACACACAACCAACAAGAACGCCGGTCTGCTGCTAATTACCATCACATGAAAATCATATGCTGAATATATTTACCCGCCAACGTGGCTGGTAGCCTTCCAACATTTGGTCGCCAAACTGAAAATCCACCCACATTTGGCGGGTGTTAATTTCCATCCCTGGTCTTCAGCATGTGTCCATATGTAAGATAAGATCAACTTTATTGTCCCCTGAGAGAAATTTGCATGTTTAAACAGACTGAACTCAACAGGAGAAAAGTCAGCGAGGACGTTAAAGCTTAGAAAAGAAAATACACGTCTGTTACTTGATTCCAGCTAACAGTGTCCTTTACTGTGAAATAAGTTAGCGTAGCCCTGATCGAGCCAAACTCCATTCAGAAAATGAACATTTTAAAAGTTGTTTGCTTGTCATCCTGCTGACAGACCTGACAAAGCAGGACTTAATATGTTTAACAAATCAGCATCACTTTGATTCGTTTATTGCAGCTAAATCACAGCAAAATGTTTATTTTGGGTTCATCCAGTTTCTCTGCTCTCTGCTGAGGTTTGCTGCATCTCTTTACTTACAAACCTTTAAAAAGAATAGTTTCAACAATTTCTTTATTGGGAACGTTTGAGTTGTGAAAGTGTTGGGAGAAAGTTGCATATAGCTGAGTCAGCGCGCAGTAAAATAGGGTGTTTGTGGTTTCGTGGGGTCAGTGGGTCAGAGAAAGAGAAGTCGACTCGCTCAGAAGTCTGAGTGAGGCTTTTATTTTGCTGCCGTCGCTGGTTTCACATGCAGGCGGCTCAGAGTCAGAAACGAAACACAAAACTGTGAATGTGCAGGAAAAGAGAAATCGTTAGAGGTCATATTCTGCTCATTTTCAGGTTCATAGTTTTATTTAGTGGTTGTACCAGAACAGGTTTACATGGACACCATATTTCTGTCAGACTGTACATTGCTGCAGCTCCTCTTTTCACCCTGTGTGTCGAACGCTGCGTTTTAGCTGCCGAGTGAAGCATCTCACTTCTATTCGATCTTTGCTGCACATGAGCAGTAGGTAAGGACTACTAGCCAATCAGAAGCAGAGTAGGGTGGGTCATGACAAGCAGGGTAGCGTGATCAAAACAAAACCACTTCAAGCCTGATTTATTCGTCTGCATCAGGTCGAGCGTTTATACTTTCTGCAAAAGACACCGCCAAGCGCCCGCTGTGTTGACCTCCGCCAGCCGAGACTTCCTGTTTAGCCCTAAACTAACTTCAATGGGGGTAAAATAATAATCCTGTGGCTCTTCCAAACTTTTCAAACGTTATCGCCTGAATGGATCAAACTCTGATGGTGAAACGGGTCATTTTGCGGGTTTTGATGCTCATACACTGTGGGCGCACAGCGGCTGATTTCGCTAGTAAAATTGACATCAAAGCACGGAGCATTTCCTGTCGGCGTGGAGGAAATGTGACGCTACCAAGCCGACCAAACACAGTTCTTGCAGTCGCCGCAATGTGTGCTTACATTTTTGGGGAGGTGCGCGCCAGTCGTAGATTCAACACAGATGTATAAATCCACTCCCGACTCGTCACATACTGACGCTTGGTCAAGGCCCTTTAGCGTCGCTTTTAGACGTTTAGGGCTCCGCAGTCAAGTTAGCAACGCTTAGCAACAACAAATATGAAATGTCCGGTTAGACTTTCAAAACATCGCAATTTTGAAACGGCGCGTTATTAAAGTCGTGAAATGTTGCAGTTTGGTTAGTTTTAGGAAAAGATCCTGGTTTGTGTTAAAATAACTACGTACGTTAGTTAACACGTCACTTGTGTAATTTACACAATTTACGTAACTCGCCCAACTTCGATTAAAAGAATTAATGTTGACTTTTTGTTTCATACGGGACACAAACCCCGGTGTCCTGGTTCAAAGCTCCATCCACCTCCTTACTCTATTCTGTTAAATATCATATACCTGCATTTACGTCACAAAATGACGCTCCAGGGTTTCCCTGACACC